CCCCAAAACCCCAAAACCCCAAAACCCCATCATGAGCTAATAATAGTAATTATGTATATTTGAAATTCCAAAAGTGAATAAAATAGTCCTTTGATTTATAATTTCATATGTTACGAATAAGGTATTATAAATTAATTAATAAATATATACTTGGCTTATCAGAATACTATAGTTTATAATCAAATATTAAAGCTAATGATTGAAGAAAAATATTAAATACTCAATATTATTGGGACTGGTGCAGTTGGTAAAGTTTGGGAAATCTAAGATGTATAAACTGGCACTAAATATGCATTGAAATAAGTAATTAAAATATACTCATCTTATTAAAAATAGTAAATATATAACTTGGAATTTAAGACAGAAAGAGTTATTTATCAGAAGCTATAATCGAAGAACGCTGAAGGATTCCCTTAGTATATAGGATCAAGGGTAACTTAAAAGGATAAAGCATACATTATACTTGAGAAGATGGGACCATCTTTAGCTAGGTATCTAGAGAGCACTAAAAGAAAATTATCAATGACTTAGATTTTATAAATTGGTATATAACTGGTAAGACACTTTTCCCAAAATAATGTGACATTTTTAGGTGAAATAAATAGAACAACTTCATGCCGTTGGCTATATTCACAGAGATATTAAACTAGATAATATACTTCTGAAGAAAAATACTGAAACTGCACTTTCTGAATTTCAAATAAGTCTTGTAGACTTTGGAGCATGCAGAAAGTATTTAGATTCTTAGGGCAACCACATCTAGAAAGTTCAAGAAAATTCTTTCCAGGGTAACTTAGCTTTTGCAAGTCTGAATCAAATGCTTTGCTATGGTAAGTATTATTTTTATAAAAATTTTATAGCGCCCTCAAGAAAAGATGATATTATCTCAATATTGTACCTACTAATTCACTTGAGAAATAAATCCTTGCCTTGGACTTCATTTAAAATAAACAAACAAGAATTAGCAGAGAATATTTTTAAAAGCATTATACTTTCTAAATAGGCATATCATCAATCTTTATATTTGTGGTCAGAAAATCAATGTTAGTATTTAGATTATTAATATTATAGGTTTTTTTAGAAATCTGCTTGCAGAAGTTGGAAAAATAAAATTTGATGAGAACCCAGATTATGCTTCTATCATTTAAGCAATGCAAAGATAACTCTTGGAAATTTAGCAATCAAGTGAACTTTAAAAATGGAGATAATCCTCTCCAAATGCAAATTGCCATCTATCTCCATCACCTTTCACTGATAGTCATATGCAATCTAAAAGATAAGAAGCAAGCACCTAAGAAAATACACCACGAGGCAAGCAATAAAAAACATCAGCAAACTCACTCTTTACTTAAGACTTAAAGGGTATTGTTGATGAAAACATTAAAATGATTGACTATAAAAAGAGTAAGGTGGAGGTTAAAGATGCTGAAATTAGCTTCAAAAATAAAAAGTAAAAAAATATGTAGTAAAATGACTATTAGAGTCATGCTATTCTTGATTATGAGTTGAACTTACTTTCAAACTAAAACCTGCTTTTCATTACATAAGAAAAGATTGATGAAGGAATTTTCAATTTCCAATTAGACTCTATGTATGATAAAAAAGAAAATAATCCATTCATTAATGATCAAACTGGAATAAATCTAAAACAAGAACATTCCAAGCTTCAATTTTTGAATAAGAAAATTTAAGGCTAAACGAATCAATAACATGATAATAAATTAGTTAATCAGGTTAATATCAAAGAAAATGATTGTTTTGCTTTTGAAAATGATCTTAAATAGATCAATCGATTAGAAATGAATAATGATTTTCAGCTTTAATGCCTTATTAGGCCACCTTAATCTCAGCAAAATGATTAAATCAAAAGGCTTATGATGATTGATTCAACTGATTTTGATGACATGGAGATCAATGAGGAGTATTAATAAAAGAATGGTCTGTTAACAGATACAAAAATAGAGCTTGTATATGAATTTGATAATCATACTAATAATCTCAAAAGTATATGTCATTCATCTTGATAGAAACTTTGGTGAGAGAGAATATCACAAACTGATTCAATTATGATAGATTAATTTTATTAAGAGTTTGCAAAGACTCTAAGTTATATTTATATATTAATTTGAAATTCTTTGATTCCTATTTAATTGCACTAATACGGGGTTTTGGGGTTTTGGGGTTTTGGGG